GAGAGAGAGAGAGAGAGAGAGAGAGAGAGAGAGAGAGAGAGAGAGAGAGAGAGAGAGCCTGAAATGAGTTACCTCTAATAATCATCCCTATCGGACCCTATGCTTGATGCATTCAGAGAGAGCGCAATTTCAGCCTTCACAACAATATGATCAACAATAGCATGCGCTGAAAAAGAGAGCTAAAATACCGGTTTAGATGCCACAGCCATCGTATACGCATTAACAAGACCTCCACACCCACGCACCACTGCTTTGAACATTTCCTAGCAGGCTCGGGATTAAAAAAAAAAAAAAAAAAAAAAAAAAAAAAAAAAAAAAAAAAAAAAAACTGGAACTGTGCAACAAAAATAACAGACCCGGTAGATGCAAAAAAGAGGAGAATCGGAAAATTCACAAAACATGTTATACAGCTGGCTCTATGTCAAATGGGGCACAAGCATAAAAAGTCCCAAAGAGCAGAATGCCATTGGGAGACTGACTAACCGGGGCAGGCTTGACGATCTATCCCCAAAAGAACAGGAAGTCTGTACAGCCACACGCTCCAGCAAGAAGAGCAGGTTATCTATCGAACAACTGTCACTGGAACCCATGTAAGGAAAGAATAGCAACATGGAAAAAAAGATAGCAACACAACTGAAGAGAAGAAGGGGAATACTGCCCGGAATAGCAAGAAACCAAAATTGGTGGCTCATTCGCCTGAACCTCGGCACGCGGCACGCCTGCCGCCCATAGATAGGTCCTCGACAAGTGTAACAACAAGTGTCCCACCCAGCACAATGCGTGATGAGCCCTGTAAGCTATCAGGAAGGGAGGAGTGGCCTGTCGCGAAGTGGGACCCTATCCGTTGGCTCTCGACAACTAGAACGAGGAATTGGGGGACCCGTGAAGCAAGAGACGACCTCCAACCACGCTTCGGTACTCGACTCGTCCCTTCCTACTTACTGCAAGACCGACCGGGACCCTCTTATGTCTCAAGGTCTGCTGTTTTTTTTTTTTTTTTGTTTTGTCCTTCGCATCCCATTGTGCCCGACCTTCCGCACACAGTAGCTGTATGCCACAGACTCCTTCCAGTTATTATCTGGTAAGAATAATGAGTGTCCCGTCGCTCCGCCGCGACTCTTCTTCACCCCGTGCGATGTCGTCTGGGGAGTGCTTCGCTGCCATCAGGGCACATCAGGCGTTGTGTTCGTCTACCTCCGCAGTCGGTCAGAAATCGACTCCACAGAAGCCACAGAGGAGACAGCAAGAGCCTGGGAAAGACAAAGAGGCAGCGCATCTCAGCACACCCTCCCGTTCCCGTCTTATATGTCACATCCTACAGACATGATGTTGTCAATTGAGAGGTGATAGGAGATTTAAGACGGTAAAACAAAAACAAAAATACAAAAGAAACGAGACTTACGAGGGTAGTTTACAGATCTTAGGGTGATTCTCAGGATCAACATGCGATCCGTTCCTCTAGCCAGACACAGGTGCAAGTGTGGTGGTGTCTCAACCTAAAAGAGAAAAAAAGCTATTGCTGATATGGCAATGTTATCGGTCGGGAACTGCTAATAAGATGTTTACGAGGGTGGTTTACAGAGCGTGGGCGATTTTCCTGCTGCACATGCGATCCCCCCCTACCTACGCCGCAGACTCCTTCCCGCGGGTGTGGCATCAAAAAGAGAGAGAGAGAGAATTGACGTTGCCGGGGAGGCAGAGACATTAAGCCGCCAATTCATCCGAAGCAGAGAGAATTGATGTTGCTCTTACGGGTGGGTATACGAGGTAAGCGCTTTTCGATTCAGGCCTGGGCCAGTAGCAAAAAAAGTGGCGGCAGGCCAGTTCGACAAGGCTAACATGCAGACTAATTACTTGAAAGGAAAAAAGGGAAATGGAGAAGAGAAAAAAGAAAAGCGCAGAGCACAATAGATTCTGTGTTTGTGAAGGTCCAGATTTCCAGTCTTTGTCTCGCAGTGTCTTGCAGACCCTAACGCCCGGGAAGCCTCAGGGATTATCAGGATGTGAACATAACACTGACACACGTACGTCGAAAGATGGATTTACCAAACAACCAAAGAGTTCAATGAACATCAGAAAGAGCCTACCGCCGCGAAGAAAAAGCTGCCGTCCAGCTCGCATCCATCCGCACCAGGCCAACCGCAGAACAAACGCCGTAACAACCAAAATTGCGCCAATCCTGTAGATGCACACAAGCATGGGGTGACAATCCTGGACAACATCTTCGCCGACAGAAACTGTGCACTTTCTTTTCATACGTTCAGCTGAAGAAGGTAACTTCCATGTCATCCTCTGTGGCCCTCGCTGTCGAACAACCGACAGGGGTACCTGCTGTATAGCGATTATGTGTTCGCCGCAACGTCCCACAGACCTCAGAATGATATCCTCTGCCGTAGTTGCAGTACTCACAGAAGGAGCTCAAGCAGAAACATGAACCTGGAATTCATCCCCCCTTCCTTGTTAAGGTTCCGGAAGATCGTAAACGCCTGAAGGTCATAAACATATGAAACGTCACTCACACTCACTACTCGCTACTCCCGAAGGAAGCCTTACCTAATCATCTTGTGGAACGAAGCCATGGTGGTGAAGCTTGCAGAAGGGGCCGTAAACACTTGAAAAATTTCACCCACACTCACTCCCTACAAACCTTCTGGAAGGAAAGCCCTAATCACCTGGAAACTCACTCACTCACCCATCCACCCACCCACTCACCCATCCACCCACCCACCCACTCACCCATCCACCCATCCACCCACTCACCCATCCACCCACTCTTGGAGGTCGTAAGAACCTCGACGAGCGAATGGGTTTTATTGCACAGATTGGGATACCTTTCCGTCCTCGGATATTGTTGCAGGTTGCCTCACAGCTTCTGCCCAAGCGATCTGCCAATCCTCTTTCGGTCTCAAATCGGCCGAGATCTTGTCTGCAATAGATCGTTCTAGCACCGCGTTGATAGGGACAAGAGTCTCGGATGGTTCAGGAGGTGCCTCATCGCAGAACTCCCCCTCCTCTTCTTCTCTGAACTCTCCGTCCTCATCTCCTCCAGATAAGCCTTGGTCACTTGCCGCCCTGACGGCATCATGAACCTCCCGCGCGGCAGGCATGGGTGTTGTTGGATCATGCGGCGGACCCTCGTACTCTGCAGGGCCAGCATCGACAAGGCCGGGACTTTCCACATGCTGCATCTCCTCGGTCTCGTCCCCCTCTGAATATGCTTGCCTGTCTTGCAAAACTTCTTTGCGCACCTTCGTTCTTGTCGAATCCCCCCGCACACACTCCCATCGCTCTGGCAGATCCTGATCCCTCTCACCCTTTTGGCCTGCTCTGATAGGATCAACCCGACTTGCTGACCACCGCGAGGAGGAGTGCGTTTCTCGCCTGACCTCCTCCGGCGACATTCCATTCGGCTCGGAGATACGCTTCCACACAGATTCCGAACGCCGCTCTCCATTCTCCTCCTCTACGCCTTTCTCGCCATGCGTGGCATCGATCGGATCATCCGTGCCTCGCCTGTCAACCGCCATTCTTGTCCTCTTACAGCGGCTCTGCTTTTTCTTCAACTCTTTCTGCACATGCAAGACATGCTCAGGGACACAGAAGGGGAATCCCCCACCACATACACACACACAAAAAAAAAAATTGAGTCTGTTTGCGCGAGTTCCATCGTCATTCCGAAGCCTATAACATTACTTCGGCACATCATGCCCATACGACCCATACGTTACTCAGTCAGTGGCAGGCATACTTCACGACGACACAGCGGGTGAGTGAAGCATCATAGACACCGCAGCCATGCTTTGGCAGGGTGAATGTCGTGACCTGGATGCGCCTCTGCTTTTCTACACCGCATCATCTCTCCGTCGGTTAAGCATCGTGGTTTTTAAGGCCAAGGGTGCCGGTTAGATTCCCTTACATAGCGGCATTGCTTTGATCCAAAAGGCACCACCATCTTGGGTGAACGCGTTTATCGGAACTTAATCCCCACATCACAATTTAAATAGGTCCATTCTGCAGCCATGCTTTGGCAAAAAAACAGACAACTAAATTGCGTACCCTTCAGGAAAAAAAAAAAAAAAAAAAAAAAAAAAAGGGCCCTATTGTCTTTACCCAATAGACGTTACAGCCGTATCTGGGGTAACTTTCAGTCTAGATGCGGCAACAATCACCGAGCCGAGCACTCTGTTCGGGTGAAGACGGTAGGTGAGGAATAAGGAAGGAAGTTACTCGCACGCAAATTCAAGAACCATTTGGCGAGATCATTGCGCAAGGGGCAGCCACCATAAAACAGCGGTTTCAAAAATAGCCAGCGATACCAATCGATGCACATTACCAATGAACGCACATCACAGTGTAGTCGGCCATGACACGGTTATTCATTCTCCGAGGCAGCAAAACTTCACAGCAATTCTCACAGAAGGTGAGTAGGCTCGACGAAGTTGTACTACTACTACTAGGCAAGAAAGTTGTTTGCGAAATATTGATAGAGGAGGGATCGGCATAACAATGCCTGGTAAGCGTGAGTCGTCAGCTCGCGCTAATTACGTCCCTGCCATGTGTACACACACTCTGTCGCTCCTACCAACTGAATGGTCCGGTGAAGTGTCTGGAACGTGGTGATTCCGGCGGTTTGCCGGTGGGGGTGCTGAGAAAAGTTCATTGAACCTGATCGTTTAGAGGAAGGAGAAGTCATAACCAGATTTCCATAGCTGAACGTGTGAACAGGTCGATAAAAAGTACTAAAAAGTTAAAAACTTGTAAATACTAAAAAGTTAAAAACACACAAAAAAAAAAAAACTTTCTCGGCCTTTTGGCTAAGATCAAGTGTAGTATCTGTTCTGATCAGTTTAATATCTGATCCGTGGTCCATCGGACCACATTTAAAAAAAAAAAAAAAAAAAAAAATCACACAAAAAAAAAGAGGAGGAAACAGAAGCATCTGAAGTGGCATGTACCTTTGCTTCAACCTCAGGAGCCATCAACTCTTTATATTCAGCTGGATCCATCCTCCCTTTCAGCACGTTCCACATCACTCCTCCTGGTGTACGTCGTCGATCTCCAGCCGCAGTCATTTGCCCTCCAGCAGCTTCAATGGCCTCAACCTGTATAGACAGAAGAGACCCCCCTCATTCTGTTCAATAATCCACAAGCACAATCCATAGGGCGTACCTCCCTTGCTGTAAGACCTCAATAAATGTACAAATGCATATGGAGAGAGAAGCAGTCCAAATGCAGATACACAACGAATAAACAATATGTCATAGTGAGATTGAATGGAGAGGGTGGGTGGTGGCGGATGGGGCTTAAGAAAACGTGTTGTCTGTTCCTGACCTCTTTTATAAGCTCCTGGACACCGCGAACACCAATGAGATCGACAAGCCTCCATACAAGGAAAAACTTCTTTTCTTGAAGTCGCCAGCATGTGTCCTTCACGAATCTGCTTGCAACCCATCCACCAACCCAGCCAGACCCCACACACATAAAACCGGAAAAAAGAAAGAACAGCAGTGCAACCAAATCACTTGATCGGTGAGTCAAATGAGGGGAACCAACCAACCTGATGCTAGTTACTCACACCGCAGCTTATGCTGTTCCTCTCTCTCGCACACACACACACACACACACACACACACACACACACACACACACACAAACACACACATCTCCACACACACA